CGAAATGCACGCACACTTGGCCGGGCCGCCGCCTTCCTCGTCGTCGTCAACGAATTCGGAGCACGAAGTCGGCGGGCCAGAGTCCTCGGTGGCCAGAAAGACCTCGTCGAGCTACGAGATCATGGCGATGATGGCCGACAAGAGGAAGGAACTGGCGGCGAGGGCGCTCCTGCTGCCACCACCTCCTCTTCTCGAGCCACCCGGTTATCCCGTGTTCGGTGGCCCCTTCCCAGCTGGCACCGGTCTCTATCCTACGGGTGGACCCTTGACCCACCAGCACCTAGATCGGAGACTGCTCAGAGCGCCCGGCAGGGCGTCGAGGCCGAAGAAGCAGTTCATTTGTAAATTTTGTAATCGACAATTCACGAAATCGTACAACCTTCTTATTCACGAAAGAACGCACACCGACGAGAGACCGTACTCCTGCGACATCTGCGGTAAGGCGTTCAGGAGACAGGATCATCTTAGGGATCACAGGTACAACAGGCGTCGTATCTTTCGTATCTAATTCCGAACAATGAACAATGAACGTCAGGGAGAAGGGGGAGCACGAGTTTTGTACTCGGTGGTAGGAAACAAACGCTGTAGTTTATCGAGATTATCATCTCTTCTCTTTTCACTCCCCTCAGGTACATCCACAGTAAGGAAAAGCCGTTCAAATGCGGCGAATGCGGGAAAGGCTTCTGCCAGAGCCGTACCCTCGCGGTCCACAAGATCCTGCACATGGAGGAATCTCCGCACAAGTGTCCAGTCTGTGCCAGGAGTTTCAACCAGCGCAGCAACCTCAAGACCCATCTCCTCACGCACACGGATCACAAGCCGTACGAGTGCACGTCGTGCGGAAAAGTGTTCCGCAGGAATTGCGACCTGAGGCGACACGCGTTGACCCACGCCGTCGGTGATGTCCCTCCCGAGGCGCTGGAGGAGGCGCTGAGGGACGACGACAGTCCAGAGGAGGATTGTCCCGAGCCGGGACCTTCGTCCTCCTCGTCGACGTCCGCAGCGTCGAGCAGCGCGTCCGCAGCACCGCCAGCGTCGTCATCGAGTTCCTCCGGATACCCTCCGCAGGGACCTTCGGCACCGCCGCCGGCCGCGGCCGCGGCCGTAGCAGCAGCGGCCGCGGCCACGGCGCCAGCACCTGCGCCAGCACCACCGTTACCGTTACCGCAGAGACCTCAGCTACAGATCAGAAGAGATCTGTTGCCCGCGGTGAAGCCGTCGACGGTCACCAGCGGCGGCTCCGTGGCTCACTCGGTTACTCAGAACCCACCGACCGCTCTCCCGCCGCCACCGACACCGCTCATTCTCACGTCTTATCGGCGAAGACTCGGCTCACCGGGTCCTTCCAGGATGCTGTTGGAGCTGCAGGAGCGCGAACGCGAGAGAGAGATGGAGCAGAGCAGGGAGAGAGAACGCAACAGAGAACGCGAGAAGGAAGTCGCCAGACCACCGAGGGCGCCTACACCGCAGCCGCTACCTCCGCCCAGACCAGCACCAGCGCGTCAAGGTTTCACCATCGCGGACATAATGCGCCGATAGATGCGCTGACACGGTGGCGTTTGACAGCCTTCCTCCACAGTTTGCGAGCGTTACGTCAGCACCGAGCGACAAGGAGGAGAGACCGATCGCTTCGAGGTGAACAAAGTAGGGATTGTTTCAGCACGACAGCCTTCTCGTCGCGTACGATGGGACGTCTTATACAGTCTAGTAAGAATTAGAAAAAGACCGACGAGATCTTCGCGCGCGATTCCCACGACGAATTCGTGGGACGTGCTAGATTCCGAAATAGTTGGACTACTGGACTCATAAAACTCATAATCCTCTCGATTATGGCCAAACGGTCACGTTCCGAAAGATCGATGTGAATGGCGAGGAAAAAAGCAATGAGAAAACGGGACGGTTAGCACGTCGATTTCCACGATTGTCACTCGGAGACGAACGTTAACTTTTGTTATGTATAACTCACGTTATACATATAAAAGCGCGTCCGGTAGAAAACCAAAAAAAGGGCAAGGCACACATATACACACACACACACACACACACACACAGTTAGGAATCGCATCTTCTTTCGACTTGTCCAAAGTTGGAGAGGAAATTGTCGTGCATTCGGTGGAAATCAATGTGCTGCGCGCATGAAACGCAAAAATGCCAAAAATGTGCCTGAGCGTCTCGTCCGAGGGAGGTTCGCCGAGGGTATTCCTCGGTGATGCTCTCGCGCAAAGTCGCGATCGCGATCGCGACAACGACGTAACGGACGCGAAAAGAGGAGGGGGGAAGGGAGGGAGAGGAGGAGGAGGAGGAGGAGGAGGAGGAGGAGGAGAGAGAGAGAGAGAGAGAGACGACAGTCTTACGGAGAGCAGCCGCCTCGTCAGTCTACATATTCTTTTGTCCTCGCTTAGCCGTCGCGTCGCGGCGACACGGTGGGGATAATGCAAATTTCGTGGTCGGGATAATAACCCGTGCCACCGTGGCACAGGTACGGTGGCAGGTGCAGTACACGGTTTTGTACCTGCTCGATCGGCGCGCCCGCGCGGAATACCTGGCTCCCGGCTTCTGCTCCCGCGCTTTCTCCCTTCTAAAAATATTCCGTCCCTAGACGAATGCCACGCATCGGTATATTCTTTTTCTCTTCCTGAGCCTCCCCTCGCCCTCCCCCACTCTGCCGTTCTGCGCCTCGTCGCATCCATCCACCTACTCACTGGCCACGGAAGAGAAGCATTAATGGTCCTTTTGTGGAACCCGAATTGTACACCGTTCGACCGCGGCGCGGCGGACGATCCTCTCGGCCTATGCGCCGGCACGCACAAAGGGGTGCCGTGCTCCTCCCCCCTTCCCGTCCTCCCTTCGGTGGATCTCAAAGGAGTGTCCGTGCGCGCGCAAACGAGCGAGCGGAGGAGCGTCGGTGGAGCGTGTTACAAAAAGTAGATTGTCGTTTTCAAGGTGTCCATTGTGATTCGAATCGAATTTCGACTCGCGTTCGAATGCGCAGATCATTCGGACGCGACTGTGCGTTATCGCTGCGCGTCGTCGCTGTGAAAGATGCGAGAGAATTGCGGTACGAGGAGGATGTGTGCATTCCCCCCCGCCTCCCCCCCGCCCGCCGTCTTTGGATGGGGACCGTTGCGTCACGAGAGAGCAGCGCACTTGAGAGATACAGCGATCTTGTTGTATCGAATAATTTCGTAACAATGAATAAATGCCAGGACATGGCGCGACATGGCGCGACCTCCCTCATTGCGCCCCGCGAATGCCGCGGAATTTCGGTCAGCGCGAAACTGCCTCCGAGTACAAATTCTCTCCTTCTCCCGTCTGTTTCCATCGACGCTTTGTTTCGCGGAGACGAGACTACATTAGAGAAATGGAATTTAATTGCGTTAAATTAAGTCTCGCATTCGGTCGAGAGTACGTACGAGTGGTGTAGTACGTAGTCGCGATTACAGAGAGAGAATCTAATGCAATCAAGTTGAATTTCATTACGCTCAACTTGCGTCCACGTGATCTGAATTGTGTGTGAAACGGAACTGTCATGTCGGGAAGATGTTATACTTTGCGAATACCTGATGTGTGTAATATCTCCCACGTACGCGCGATTGCGCACTGTCTCGTCTCATAATGTTTTATATACTGCGTGTAACGGTAATAAATGTAATTACTATTTTAAGTATCACGCGCACGAGTCTTTGAAAACGAACATGGAATTCCGATATTTTTCTCCGTCGAATTGTTCCACGAACATTAGGACGCATGATGCAAATGATGCAAAGTGATTATTGATCCTTGCGGTACGGCAGGTGCTTGCCGCATAAGGTTAACCAGACGACAGTCGCGACAGCATTTATGTGCTAAGCTTTTTCATATATATATATATATATATATATATACACACATATATATATACATATATGTATACATGTATATATATGTATATATGTGTATATATATATACTGTATATATATAATGTATATATGTATATATATATACATATATGTATAATACATATATATATATATATATACTCTACGTTTTCTCACAAACCAATTATATATATATCGACGTGCATCAAACTTGATTGCCATTTTGAGATGTAAGTCACCCTTTAATTAATAACAAACTGAGAAAATAAAAAACTAACAAAATGAGAAAAGGCGAACGCGCTGAGCGACTGTCGAGACTCTGGTTGGCTGTCGTACCAAAAAGATGAGAGAGATACTGTGAACGTCATTTTCGTTTCACAACTTGTTCTTTGTAGTAGTTTGCCTCATAATTTGTTCAATGTATCAAATCAACGTGTTCAATTTAAACATTATTTGGTGCCTACAAGTGCCCAGTGAAACTATGCATTTGGATCCGAGCCAGATTGTTTACAAGGTGGTAATTTTAGCAATTTATACGCTAAGACAGGAACGTAATTCTTTGTGTGTATGTGCATTTGAAAGAGCGAATGACATTTTGCGTATATTTGTGTGTGCATAGAGTGCTGCATGCGTGCGTGCGTGCGTGTGTGTGTGTGTGTGTGTATGGATGGGTGTGATATATGTGCGAAGAAAAAGAAGAAACGAAAGAGAAAAGAAGTGGAAAAGAGCAGTAAAGAGGAAGGAGAAAGTAACATTCGGTGCCTTTGTCAACAAATCTAATGTATAGTGATATATACAATGTACAATGTACTACGTACAACGAAAGTCGCATACGCCGTAAACTTTAAACGTGCGAGCGATTAATCTCCTGTTATTTTTTACGTTATCAGATTACATCTTGTATAAGTATCTATATTTTTAGATTTATATGACAGTTAAGAGCAAAGTTGTAAATTATATATTAAGAGAAATGGAATAAAAAATATTAAAAACGGCAACAAAGAGCGGTGTAACAGATTAATTCATTCGACCTGCTACAGACCTTGTACCGTAGGAAATAAAACATCCGTCCAATCTATCGTTGAACTGTACCACTTAACAAATGAGATCAGTCTGACTTGCAATTTGAGCCACGTGCTATTTGAAAATATCATTTAACCCGTTGTTTGGTCGTGAAAAATAATCGAAAATAAACCCGCCCTTCGTTCATCATGCAATCGCATGCATGCATATTATCACCTATTATCACCGACAAGGTAATATAAAGACTGACAGTCCTGGGTAAATTTTCGTATCAACCGAGGGGGATCGAAGAGACCAACAGTCTTTAAATGTAGTATCTCGTCGGTGAATTACACTTCTCAGTCGCTCATTCAGTATAGTGGCGGCTCGTAGCGGAGACTTTGAAATTAATTGTATCGGTAGTCGAGACTCAAACCATACTTCTAGTCAAGATTCAAACTTTGCTCACTCAAGATTCGAACCTTGCTCTCAGCCAAGATTCGAACCTTGCTCAGCCAAGATTCGAACCTCGCTCCACCAAGATTCGAACCCCGTTCTCCATCGATTTCCCCGCAACTTCGCCAGATGACGCCAAGTAGGCTGTTAAACGGCCTGCCTAGCGGACAGACAATCATTCTAAGATTTGGTCCCGAAGAGTCCGCTACGAGCCGCCACTGTTTTTAATGCCATTTAAAGCCATGTTACAATTTTCCGACATTTTAGAGAAGCTTTTTATCGTCAAATACAACGGCAAATCCAACAACTTTTTATTTTACTGCTACTCAACAACAGGTTAACTAATCTTTCTAGTTTTTTTTTAAATAACGCAGCTAAACGAAAGGTCAGAGAGTACAATAAGGGGAGAAATTTCTCCTGGAAAAACAGAGGAGATTTAAATATTTATAATTTCAAAGAAGCCGAAAACCCGCGCGTGTAAAGACGTACGACTTGGAATATGTCTTTAAGTCAGCTTTTAGCATATTGACAGTGTTCACTGTGTTATCTTAGTCCTACGTGAAAAAGACACCTTGTGTGTGTGTGTGTGTGTGTGTGTGTGTGTGTGTGTGTGTGTGTGTGTGTGTGACGGAAACCACCCATGTGTTATGGTTCAAACAGCGCATATAAATGAATAAAGAAAGATAAGATAACTCTGTAGTGTGTCTGCAAACTAATTGCTCGATCTTTCATCTCTTTCTTTTTCCCATTCTCTCTTCTTTTCGCTAACGAGCTAAAGCTCGAGAGAATACTACGGGCTTCACGCGAAACACCAAAAACACTCAAAGACGCAAAATAATAAACATATATGCCGTGTCTTTTCTAAAATCTTTCCCCGAAAAATCATTTTTTCCGGCCAAACTTTAATGTAAAAATCGTTGGAAATATTTTTGAAATATAAACGATCTCGAGGATGCAACTGTATTCGCGCGACGATGCAGTTGCGCCGGAAAAACTTTACGATCGCAAGGCAAGAGGAGATCTCCGCGAATCGGCGAGTTCATCGACAAGGAACTTCCGTTTCAATCGGAAACGAGCGAATTACTCGGGCGAGAGGCAGTTTGTTTGCACATAAACGCGTAGCGTGCCGCCGGCGCAGCCCGACTCGTACGTTTTACGAGCTGGTTCCGCCGGACGGCTTTACGGCGGGGGAAGGAACGGAGGTGGAGGAGGAGAAGGTGAGTAAAAATCGACAAACAATCTATTCGGTCCGTGCATGTCGGGCGCGGCCCGACAACGTCGTCGTTACACGGATAAGTTCTACGTACTACGGGCGCCTCCTCGTCCTCGCCGCCGCCGTCTTCCTTCTACTTTTGCTTGCTACGGCCGGTCGCGCGGCTTCGGCGTGTCGGTCTTTCAGACGGCGGTGACTTTCTGTGAAAATTTCGGCGTAACTCAAAAGCCAAGTCAAACATGGGCGTGTTTCACGAGGTGTCTCGGTAAATCCGGTAAAGCCGCGAAGGCAAATTCCTGCCTGCGCGAGCGACACACGTCACGCTTTGCTTTACGCACCGAGAGCGCGCGCGCACGCACGCACGTGTACACACTCGTGTGGATGTGTCAACGGGCGCGCGCACGCACGAGCTTACGAAGGTACTACGAAGAGAGGACTACGGGCAGGACTCGACGTGGATGCCGAAAAATAGGAATCTTCTCGATTACTCTGGCCTCGACGGTACATCTTGCCGATTTGTCATTCTCATTATTGCCGACTAATTGGATTGAGATGTACTTCAAAGATCATATCTGCCTGAGTTGGTTTCATCACTTTACATGGTTTATACTTGGCCAACATGCGAGAGAGAGAGAGAGAGAGAGAGAGAGAGAGAGAGAGAGAGAAAGAGAGAGAGAGAGAGAGAGAGAGAGAGAGGCGATGCGCTTTCGCATAGCGACCGGAAGTAACGCGTCTGCGTGCGCGAGGAGGAGATCGAAATTGCGTCCGGCATTATGGTGGTCGCCGTAACGTTCGCGGGCGGAGTATTATAATGTGCGCGCACGTTGCCAGCATACATATACGTGGCCAGCGGAAGGTGCGGCTTTGGTCCGCGATTCTTCTCGGGTTCGTCCTATGCCCATTATATGCGAGCGAATTCTTCGCGGTGCCTCTCGGGGGCCCCACGAGATATGAGGTCTCGCTCACACCGCTGCGAGTTTATCACTCGTGGGATTTCGCGCGCGGCTGCATCGCGAGCTTTCCCGATGCTTTGCGATGAGGAAGGAAAGTTTCACAGCCGGGAATATCACCGAGCACGGGGGGATCACTTGTTCGAATTCAAACGGTCTCCCGATCGACTCGGCTCGGCGATGATGCGAGGGACCGGTGCGTGTAAACTGTGCAGCAAAGTATCCGGCTTAATCCCCGGAGAGTTACAGCGTCAACGGCTTTTCTCTTCGCAAAAACAAGCGCACGAGAGCGCGGGAGATAACGCGTAATAAAAGCCGGCAACAAATCCGAGGGTGTGGGCCGGCGATGTACACAGTATATGAATCACTGTTACCCTCGCGAGAAGAGGTTAAGGTGTCATAAATGACGGCTACGCGTCCTTTTAGCGGTGAAAGCCGAAATTGATAACAGTCACCAATTTCCTTTTTACATATCAGCGTCCGACCGCAGAAACGTAGAGCCTCGGGAGGATCGCGCGACGATTACAACTTGCGAGATATTACGATAATGACGATAACGACAATGTCGGCCGTGTCCTACTAGTGAAAAATGAAATGTTACGTTTGCGTCACTTTTAAGCAGACTTTTGAAGCGTCTTTTACATTTCTACGTGTCTCCCGTCCAAGCGGACGTCTCTCGCACGTATAATACATCCGGCAATAAAGTCTCAATGAGAGAGTTCAAGCGCTCGTATCTTTAATGTGATCTTTATTTAAACGATTGTAAAGTTGTCGCGCACGCACACGCACAGCGTGTGTCACAGCTCGCGCGCGTTTAATGGTATTCCGGAACGCAAAATTCGTTCGTTTATGAAATGGTTGTGAAACGGCCATTAAGAGATACGAAACATTGTCGTGTGTGCATACACACACACACACACACACACACACACACATACACACATCTTCCATTAGAGGTATAGCCGCGTATATCTACGCGACTTTACGCCGGCGAGGAGCGTGAGTGAAGCTTTGATGTGACCGCCATTACCGGCGACACTTATCATCGTAGTCGACAACTCGGATTCTATTCGAGAAGTGTCTTGCTGATGCTTGACACTTCTTAAACGATCCACGGAAAGAAAGAGAAAGAGAAAAAGAGAGAGAGGGAGAGAGAGGGAGGAGAGAGAGGGGGGGGGGGGAGAGAGAGAGAGAGAGAGAGAAAAGAGAAAGAGAACGGCGCGAGAGATGAGTTTCTCCCCGATTTGTAGACACGGTTTTTTCCCGTGTCTTTCCCATGCTTTATCGTCCGTGTTTAATTAAAATCCTATAGATATATCTCAGTGACTCAACCAAAAGATGATAATGCTTTCGTAATCGGGAAATGGCTTCTTCGTTTCTTCGTTTCTCGCTTATCGAGCCAGTTAGATCGCTTCGATATTGATTCTAAGAAAGACGCACACGGAGAGATAATGCAGGGCAAATAATATCCTAAAAAACGTGCATTTCCGAGATAGGTACATTTAGACTGCGGACTCGAAACAACCGAAGAAACCGCTCGCCACCCCATATCTTTTTTATCGTCATTCAACATAGAAACGATAACGCGTCGTCGCAGCTCATCTACGAAGAAATGGGAAAAATTTAAAAAACAATCCTCCCCTACCCCTCTCGCCTTTCTCAATAGCAAACTTTCCGTCCGTAAACCCAGAATCCGGCGACCCTTCGCTTCCGAAGCCCGAGTCCGAGAGCGACCTGAGAGAGAGAGAGAGAGAGAGAGAGAGAGAGAGAGAGAGAGAGAGAGAGAGAGAGAGAGAGAGAGAGAGAGAGAGAGAGAGAGAGAGAGAGAGAGAGAGAGAGAGAGAGAGAGAGAGACAGAGAGAGAGAGAGAGAGAGAGAGAGAGAGAGAGAGAGAGAGAGAGAGAGAGTGAGAGAGAGAGTGAGAGAGAGAGAGAGAGAGAGAGAGAGAGAGTTCACGGCTTTTCACGATTTTCCTTTCGGATTACGCTATCTCGAGATCGACGCCGACCGTTCTTTCTCACGTCGCTGTGTACACGCACGTGCGAATGCGTGTGTGTCTGTGTGTTTGGACCTACTACCTGCTAATTCGACCTGTCTCGATTGGTCCTCGTTATCGTTCGCGCGTTATACGAAGGCGCGCGCGCGAAGGAGTGATGACGTTCACGCGGCGCGGGGCCTTAATCTATCGGTCGGCTTCCCTAGTCCCGAAATGAGGTGATATTTCCTCCTCGTCTTCTTGCTCCTCCGTCACCGCCGCCGCCGTCGCCGTCACCGTCGTCTTCGTCATTGTCGTCGCGGATGTGACAATATTTGTCGCGAGCGGCGACCGAGGTGGGAGAGAGGGGGGAGGGAGGGAGGGAGAGAGGGAGAGAGAGAGAGAGAGAGAGAGAGAGAGAGAGAGAGAGAGAGAGAGAGAGAGAGAGAGAGAAAAGACGCGCGTTATTTGCCGTCGTAACGTTCCCCGTGAGATGCCGTCTGTTTGCCGAGGCTTTGTTTCCGTCAGTTTCCGTTTCCTGCGTCAACACGGCGGCTTCTCTGTGATCCATCCGATCACCGAATACGCGCGCCCGCTCTTGGATATCAAGATAAGTCTGTACTCCTTGGTACACCGTCAACTCGCGACCAGACGTCTGATTTTTTAGCGAGTGTGTTTGTCGCGGCAAGCGAGAGGATTCACGGAAAGTTGCGCGACATCCTGAGACTAAAGAGCGCGCAGAGTCTGCGACAACGTTCTTCGAACGGATGCGCGAAATCACACATCCGCGATGGAGGATTTTCCTCGTAAAAATTTTTATTCGGATCGGTAAGCAACGGCCGGCAAACTTTCGCTCTACTCGACCAAATCCACCATGTCGGAAGCGGATGATGCGGATCTTTAGAACAGTGTGCGGTAGAATTGAGGAATTTCAAGATTCGGCGCAATCAGCAGAGCCTATCGTCGGTGTTCGACAATGCGAAAACCGCTGCGTCATTATTTTGCAGCGAACCGCTTACGCACTCGACGTCAGTGCGATTTCCGCAGCGAGTGGTACGCGTATTCCCCGCGTGTCGCGGGACTTGCAAAAGAAGGCCCCGAGACATTGTTCACTTTGTCATCCGAGTGGCCATTGCGCCGCGCATTGGCGCTTTTACCCTCGTTATCAGGCGACGACGTAGCGTCGCGATACGTCCGACTGGATGCAACAAATCTTGACTGCGTCAATAACGCCGTCATCTGAGTTTCCGGCGTCATTCGAACGCGTCTTCATTCTCCTGCATTTTTGCAGGACGCAGCAGCGGCGGCAAAGTCGCCGCATGCCGAGCTCGTCGGCGTCGCCTTTGTTGCCGTGATCGTTCGCTCGTCCTCTTCCTCTTCATCGTCCTTTTCTTCCTCCCTTCATCGTCGTCGTCGTCGTCGTCGTCCCGCCATCGTCACCGTCGTCGTCGTCGTCGTCGTCGTCGTCATTCTCGTCGTCCGCATCGTCCTCGTCGTCGTGGTCGATTCTTCGTCGAGGAATTTTTCCACCACTCGATCATCCTGGATGACTCGTTGAGGGAGGCGATCGTCCCGTCCGGATAGGATTGTCCAATGAAGCGATACCGCGAGATCTCGATGGGCGGCGCCCAGGATCCTGGCGATGGTTCTCCAGCCAGGTGACTTCGTGGTGGGGCCCCATGAGGCCCGAGAGCGAGAGTCGGCTGGTGGTGCTGATGGTGGGGGAATTGACATCGACTACTGTGCATTTCCCACGTGCCCTGGGAACCCCCGCGGCATCGTGTCAGCCCCCGCTCTTTGCTTTTGCATGCTCCTTCCACCTCCATCTTCTCCCACACTATCTACTTCTCATCGTCAGCTCTTGGCGAGAGAGCGGTCTCTCCTTCTGTCTGTCTGTCTCGCTTTCTTTCTTTCTTTCTCTCCCTCTCTCCCTCTCTCTCTCTCTCTCTCTCTCTCTCTCTCTCTCTCTCCCTCCCTTTCTCCTTTCCGCTTCTACTTTATCCTTCTCTCTTTCTCTCTGCCTTTCTCTCCACGTGAAACAGAGACCGAGGAATCGACGCACCCGCGGATTTTCTCCCGAGAATCGATTCGGCGCTTCGCTCTCTCGCGCGTGGGTGATCGAACACGGAGAATTTCAGCTTCTCTCGCATCGTTTATCCCGCCGGAGACATCAACGGCCGGGAAGGCGGTCGGTGACACGTTGTCTCGTAGAGTACTCTCTAAGCTTCTTCGAGTAAAATTTCACTCTAAGAGCAGAATGAGACGACCGAATGATTCGAATTCGAGTCGATTTCGCACTCGTGCGCAGATTGAATTCGACTCGTCAGAGGATTGTTTTCGCTCGCAGTCAAATACGACGGATCTGATGTAGATTTCACAATTTTTCGCAACAACATAGACCCTCATCAGTCCCCAATCAGTCGCGAAACTCGCTTCACTCGAGCGCAGTTTGAATTCACTTCACAGCTGCACAGTGAAAGGCAAACTTACGATTTACGACTTGACTTTGTTTCTATTGTCGCTTCGAGTGAATTTTCACTCGTTTTGAAAGGGATTTTACGGCAGTAGAAACTTTTCGAAAGTACGCGTACATGTACGTGCCAAGGCAATGACGATGACGAATCGCTCTCTCTCTCTCTCTCTCTCTCTCTCTCTCTCTCTCTCTCTCTCTCTCTCTCTCTCAAGCTCGCAGGTCGTTCTAGCTTTCGAATATGCGCGCTACCTTCGCAAGCCTTTGCGGTCAGGATCACGGCTACTACCTCCGCGGGGGGTAACTTTTTGGGAAAGGGCCAAGGCGGAAGGAAGCGACGCGCGCGGCTCGAGAAAGAGAGAGAGAGAGAAAGAGAGAGAGAGAGAGAGAGAGAGAGAGAGAGAGAGAGAGAGAGAGAGAGAGAGAGAGAGAGAGAGAGGAGAGTACGGCGGAGCACGGTATTCGAATACACGCCGTGTAGGAGAGAAGGGTAGGGGAGAAACGACGCGCCGCGGCGCAGCATCACACACCAGAAGGGATCTCTCGGCGTGGGCGAAGAGGGATGCTCTCGTCTCACGGTTACGAGGGCGGGCCCAGACGCGGTCAGGTGGAAGGGATCGGGACTTGCGGAGTGTGGAAGAGAGGGAGCAGTTTCATTGGGACACTTGCGGGAGGGGCAGGGTGGCGCGGGGAAGGTGGTCTCTCGAGCAGCGAGCGGGAGCTCAGGAAGCCGCGTCGACGAAGGATTTGTGAATAACCGCGCTGCTATTCGGCGACCGGGTGAGAGACAAGGACGGCGCGTAGAGCCCGGACAAGGCGCGCGCGAGCGCGAGCGCGCACGCACGCACGCTACCACTTCTTCTTCCCTTCCTCGTCGAGCTCCTGCTCTTCATCATCGTCTTCGCCTCTTCCTCCACCGAGAGAGACCCGCCGCCGCATCCCGTCACCCTCTTCCTCATTTTCCATCTTCCGCTCCCGTTCCACCTCCGCACATCCTTCCCTCCGCCTCCTCCCCCTCCTCCTTCTTCTCCTCCTCCTCCACCTCCTCCTCCTCCGCCACCACCACCTCCTCTTCCTTCATATCCTCGTCCACCTCCCTTGCCACCTCTACCAGCGCAACGAGGTCGAGGAAGGAACATCCTGGACGTGTACGTTCCCCTTTGAATCGAGGGAGGCTGCCTTCACACGAACGACAACTGGTGGGCACATCGGTGAGTAGGTTCGGTAGGGAGGTGTCTCCCGGTCCTCCAACCAGAAGAAGCGAGACGACGACGACGACGACGACGACGACGACGACGACGGCGACGACGACGGCGGCGGCGACGACGACGACGACGACGACGACGACGACGACGACGACGACGACGACGACGACGACGAGACCTTTGGCGGTTACACACTGCGTCCTACCGTCTTCTGGTGTGTGCCTACCTATTCGGGCTACCAGCCAACCGAGCGGCCAAACGGAGCTTCAGTCGACTCCGCGCACCCAAACGGTCCAGACCTGTCAGCCCGGAAGACACACGCGGCGCAGTATTTCTCTCTCTCGAACAAACAGCCGATCCATTGATCTCGCGTCTCGCATCTCCCGCATAACGAGTCGGCGACGTGACACTTGTACGCGATTCTCGTTTCGCAATCGAGTCGTCGTCGCGCACTTCGTGAGTTCACTTCGCTCGTTCGTTCGTTCGTTCGTTCGTTCGTTCGTTGCCAGAGAGAGTTCGCACCACTTTTCTTCACCAACTTGCAAGATTTCCGCGCACGGAGAGAATAACTCACCACACACCGGACTCACCTTGCTCGACAACGAATCTCTTGTTTCCCGCCACTTTTGGATCTCGGTAAGTTCGACTTGGTCATTCTTTGTCATCGCGATATATATATATATATATATTTTTTTTTTCTAACAATCACCCAGCTGCAGTCTATGCTCGAGATTTACATTCGAGACGAGAAGCTTAGATACTTTGAAAAATTTACCGCGCTTGAATTGATACTCGATATCGATCGATACACACCGTTGGTCGCACGAGACGACCACGTTTCGCGATCACGTTTACGAGCAAGAGGAGAAGGAGGAGGAGGAGAAGGAGGAAGAAACGGAGGAGGAGGAGGAGGAGGAGGAGGTAGAAGCGCGCGGATTACTCGTGTCGCTCATAAGTGGTCATATCTTTCACGGGATCGTGCGTCAAAGGCGCAGAGCCGTTCCTCATCTAGATTCCGTAGGGAGGGTGAAAGTGAGATATCCCTACTACGTCGCGAAGCCCTTGCGCTTTCTACCGCACTCGCTCGCTCATGCACGCGCGCGGACGAAAGATCGAGTGGGAAACAGGTGTGGTCCACATTCGTGTTCGCGCATCTCGCGCGTCTTCCTCGCAAACGATCACCGCCACGAGAAACCGGTAGCGAACTGTAGGGCGGTGCGCGGTAGCCGCTACGGTTCTGATGATGATGATGATGATGATGATGATGATGATGATGACGCTGACGCTGACGGGTCGTCAAACATCTCTCGCGAGCTCCCTTTCGGCATCTTTCCGTTCGAGTTGTTCCAGGACCTATCTTGCAACTTACACGCGAATTTTCAAGTCCACGAGTCCAGTGCCTGGCCTTCTCTCCTCCGACTGACAATTTCTCCGCGATTCGTCAACTTTGCGCGCAAAAAAAATGTCTCTCTCGTAATTAACGTAATTAGAGTATCGCGTTTACAGCAGATGAGAGGAAGAAGGGATGGAGGATAAATTAAAAATTCTGCCGCTCCCAGCCCGACGACTCCGTCTCGATGATGAGATCGAGCGATTTTTCGTCAGCAGAGACCAGACTACCGCGAAGGTTTCCGCCGGATTCGCCGGGAAAGCTTGGTCTCTCAGCCCGATAGTCTAATCTGTCTTCCAATATTTTGTCACGTGCGTCGCGCGCAGTTGAAGCGGAGTCGTTACGAGCCAACCGGCACGGCTCGAGGCGGTGATTCGTCGCGGGGTACCATTTTTCTCCGATACCACGCGAGGAGCGAGCAACGCGATAGGAAATTTCTTTCGTAAGATACGCCCTTGCGTGATCGCTCGATTAGTACTCGCGGGTCTACGTCGGCCAGCGGCAGCTCGAGGGTGTGGTCCACATGGTGGATTTCACCATCTGTTCGGTAGCGACTGGCCGAAAACCGGTAGCGGTGGTAGGGCGGTGCACAGTAGCAACTCTTTGGTTGGCTACCGCTCCTTTCTTTAGTCTCCTCTATACACGCGAGAACGAGTGCACGCACATCGGCTCGCTCCTCGGTTGGCCGTTCTCCGTTCTTCTTCGATTGGCTGCCGACTCCTTGTTCCACGCACTCCGCCCTGCCGTGCGTACAGCGACCGGCTGCGAGGAACAAAAGCAGCCCCGGCGCGCGAGTGCACTCGCGCTTGTTCAATTTCCTTTATCGATTTCTCAAATGCCGCCGCGCCGCGGCGCGGCGCGGCGGCTCGAATCGCGAAGAAAAGCACAGAGGTAAACCGTAAACACTTTGGCACAGAACGTCCGAGAGAGAGAGAGAGAGAGAGACTCGGTCTGTTGCAGAGAGATGCATCGTGAATTTGTCAATTTTCCCCATGATTAAGTCCAAAAAAAGATCTCGAGAGAGAGAGAGAGAGAATCCTCCGTCTCTGCTACGAAGGATAATGTATCGCTGACGATTGTATGATATCTGTACTGTACGATATCACACGAAATCAGTTTTCTGATATAATTAATAGTTTCAGCGGAACATGCGCTCCAACAAATAATTACTCCCGACGGAGGAGCGGGAATTCTCGACAATGTAAATTCCTTCGTTGCTTGGCGAGCAACTTACTCGGCGCGCTCGGGACGGCGGCGACTCCCGTCACTAAACTCCAAATTGATATTCATAAGTAAGTGACGGATCGTCCGCGAGAGCGGAAGATGTGCGCATGAAATTCATTCCAGTTGCTTATCTAATCGCGGGATTCCGTGCACGCTCTCGCGAGAGGAAGCCCCGCCGCCGCCGCCGCTTGATTATTCCACGCGATGAGGTCGCGCGGTACAACAAAATTCACTTTCGCATAGTTCCGTGCATACCAAAGCATCGCGCGCGCCGCTTCTCTCCGCCTATTGGCAAATCTCCCTCCAGTATGGCGCATTCATAAACGCGAGCGTCTACATATATATCGCATTATCATACATTATCATACATTATCATACATTAAACGAAAGCAGTCGATCACGCGAACTCGGTGAGCAAACATGGTAGCCGGCACGATGTTCGTCCTCCCTCCTGTGATACACGCGACGCGCACGATCGCGCCCCGTACTCGGGACATAGTTACATAAAAGTCACACAAATATTACCTCGTCCGAGTCTCCCTGCCCCGAGAGAGAGAGAGAGAGAGAGAGAGAAAAAAAAAAGAGAGGGAGAAAGCCGGCTGCTGCTGGCTGGCTCAGTTCTGTTATTCACAACGATTCTGTTGTTTCGACGGCGATCAAATTCGCCAGACTCGCGCTGCTTATCTCTTGCAGACAAACAACGTCCATTTATCATCGCCTTCAAGATTATCCGCGCATTCTCATTGATACGTCATACGCATGCGTCGCGTGCGTCCGTACAAAATATATAAAAGCTGAGCGTTTACACGCGGCTAATGTCGCTTTTCCCAGCGCCCGGCTCATTAACGCGCGCACGACTCATTTAGCACGCTTCGCACAAAGTGAGAAGAACCTGTTCCCTCCGCTCGTATGCTTCCGCCTCGAGTAATACAGGCGTCCTCGCGACCTCGTAACTCTCTTCGGCGAGACTGCCACGTAGTAGCCGACGAGAGAGTATCGTTCTCGTTTCCACAGAGGGTCTGTGGTAATCGGCGTCCTGTGACCCGCAGAAATGCGAGATCAGAGGAGGACTCGAGAGGTCGAATCCAGAGGAGAAAAAACGAGAGCTCGCGGAATAGCGGCGGCGGATCCCGCCGTGATTCAAATCCTACTTCTCAGAGTTTGAAGGAGACGCGAGGTTATCCCGCTAGGCGTGATAACCGCGTGAAATTGAGATAAAAGAGCCGCCCCCCGCCGTGTTGTTCGAGCGGCACGTTTGTCCAGGTGGACGTTCGTCTCCTCCGTCTCGCCGAGCGGCGACACGACACGTCGACGCCCATCGTCGCCCCGCCGCCAACGATAACACCATCGCGCGTATTGTTTCTACGCGCAAAGTGTATCGACGCTTGTTCGCGTCAAGGTCCGAATCGACGCGGTGCGGGCAAGGTTTCTCCTCCGAGGAGTAGGAGCGGCGGCGGCGGCGGCGGCGGCGGCGGCGGCGGCGGCGGCGGTGCCGTCTTTTTATAGAACGCGAAGTCGCGCACGAGAGTGTAATGCGCAGTTCCGATTAGGCTCCACCGCCCGTTAGCCACGCTAACCAACCGGGCTACGCCCAGGCACGCTTATTACTCATTCGGACACGCCACTTTATTCGAGCGTGCGCCGTGCGCTTTAATACCGTGCCGGTAGCGACTGGTCCAAGGCTTCCGTGCGATGGCCGCGCGCGAGCGATTGGAGTGGCCGCGGGCCACTTTTTCTCCCCGACGCGATCAGTCCCACAACTCGAAGCGCACCATTAGGAGCGGCCCCGTTCGATTACGATCCCTCGTCTGTATTCGACGACGACGAGTTGCGGCGGCGGCGGCGGCGGCGGCGCGGCGAGGGCTAATTTCAGGGGAGCGATACTTGCGCGCGCGCGAGCATCTTGTACGCTGATGCTCGTATCTAGGAGAGTGCCCCAACTGTTCTCCTTCGAATCTTACTACGATTCGAGTGACGGCTTTGCTGTTGTCTCGTTGGAACAGAATGTAGGAAAAAAGCAGCAGCGGTGTTCGAATTTTTTCTTCTTTTTTCGTAAAATTTTCTCGAGTCTGATTCCGTCCGAGTGCGGCGAGTAACTAACTTTAGTTTAGAGTAACTAAAACGTTTCAAAGTTATTCCCAGCCGCCGGCAGGTTTCTCACGGGCTACCATGTGGGGATGAATTCGATTTCGGAGCTGAAAGTATAGCTCGCGTCGGAAGCGAGTGAAGGTGAATCGACGATTTGCGGTCACCACGCTTCATCGTCGGAGCAACGAGACCCCGGGAAATATTCGCGTGATTTGCCGGCGGCGCCGGCCGGACAGCCAGCGTGAAGCTTATGGAAGCGTATTCGCGGCGCGCGCATTTAGCGCTAATAGCGGCCGCGCGCTTCTACCCCCTCGTTTAGCACGAAAATGCGTGCCGTATCTCACACGAATGAAAGTTAAAACTGGACAGTTGCGCTTAAAGTTAGATACGCCCCGAGCATACGCGTCGGAGTTAATGATGTGAACTGCAAGTTTCGCAGAAGCGCGCGCTCGCGGTGTGCCATAAATAAAAAAAGATGGCTGGTCTTTTTATCCGAGACTTGTTAGAGCATGAACTAAATTTTACGAGACGAAATTTACTAGAGATCTCTCGATGCGAAAGTGCCGGTACGTTTATCGGATTAAGTATCATGCGTCGACTCCCCGCCTAGAATAACGTTAGGGAATCAAACGGAGAAGAAGGCTGTAAAATCGAGCGCGAAATGGAGTCGCGAGGTGAAACTCGCTTGACATTTATAACGAAAGAGTACCGTGCGTTCGCTCGCTTGTAGAAGCAAGAATAACGTATCGATCACTTTTCGCGCGCGCGCGCGCGCACGCGCGCCAAAAGGTTATCATATTTCGAATCGGCAAGTACCCCTCGCCCGCGCCGGCATCCTCTCGCCGAATCGATCGGCGCGCGCTCGCGCTCGTCGAACGGACTCGTCCTTTGTAGGAGGACGCGCTTGTCGGTCGTGTCGTGTTCTAAGCGCGATCCCAATAAAATATCGGCCGAATAATTCGACTCGTGACATTCCGCGAGGCGACCGCGCGTACCACCACCTACGCGTCGCTTGCGTTCATAAGGAATGCAAGATACCTCAGAAGTTGCCTCGACGTGTTACTAACCCGTCGCTCGTAGATCGGCGTCTCGCGTAAATATCCTCGGATACGGGCCGTTCCTCGCGAATATACTCCAACCTCTCGCGCGCGCGCGCGCGCGCGCGCGACTCTGGTGATTCCCTCGAGCGCGCGAATCATCGATTCTGTGCTCTTTGCAGGCAGCGATACGAGGATCCTCTCGCGACGTGGTACAAGCAGTGATCTCACTCCCAGGAGTCAGCCGTGCTCGAGACTAGCTTTGCGCGGGAGGAGAAGAGCGAGTCGAGGAACGACAGATAGAGAGAAAGAGAGGAGAGAGAGAGAGAGAGAGAGAGAGAGAGAGAGAGAGAGAGAAAGAAAGAGCGCGCGCACGTACGAAAGTGTGCGAACGCGCGACAGAGATAGATAGAGAGTGCACGACAGAGAGAGAGAGAGAGAGAGAGAGAGAGAGAGAGAGAGAGAGAGAGAGAGCGAGAGTGACGAGGTGTACCGAGAAAGGAGACAGAGGGAGACAGAAGAAGTGGTGGGAGTGACTCCGGGCGTTAGCGAGAGAGCGAGAGAGGCGGGTAGAGGGAAAGGAGAGACAGAGACTCGACCAAGAGAAGGAGCGGTGGGAATTTATAAGGATGTTCGCGATAATGCCGATGGAGACAGAGGGGCACGGCAGGGAGTTCGGCCGGCGGCAGAAGATGCGCGCCAAGTGCACGGTAGAGTTCGTCTGCAAGTACTGCCAGCGGCGCTTCACGAAGCCCTACAACCTCATGATCCACGAGCGCAGCCATAAGGACGACGTGACCTTCACCTGCGAGGTCTGCGGAAAGTCCTTCAAGCGGCAGGACAACCTCAAGCAGCACAGGTAACGTGTCGCACACCGTCGTTGTCGCGTTGTCTTTCGTCGTTCCCCTTTGTTTTAACGACATCACGTGTGTGTTTTGTTTCGTTTCTTTTTTTTTTTTTATACCGCGCATTTTTTTATTTCCTCCCGTGCACTCCCGGCGCATTTTTCATTTCTTTTTTTTTTCTTTGTCGATCGCGTTGCACGCGCTCGCACGAGACACGTACGCGATCTGACGCGTGATCAATCGCCGCGACCTCCGAGTCGCTCTCTTTAGGGGGTCCTCCTCCTCTTCGCGAGGGACCCGCAGCAGTCTCTCGAGCGCGCGGCTCGAGAGGAGCAGCTCGCGCGCGCGACAACGCCGTTGTCCGTAAATATCGCCATGTCCCTGCGAGGAATATCGCGGCGACCGATCGCGCGAATCAGAACGTCAGTGCGTGCCTCTCACTTGCAAATATCTGCACTCGGCTCGCGGTTATTAATGTAGAAACGCCCCGGAGAGACGTTACCGTGTGCCGTTATGCTTTCCGCGCCTGTCGTCCTCGCTCTTGTGCGGAGGTCCCACGGCGCCGCCGATCGTTCGCGCCGCGCGAACGATCGGAGGAGTCGCGAGTTTAGTTCGGCGGAACTCGACAAGTCGAGCTGATAATCAACTGAAATCAACTGTCGTTGCTTGTGTTGCGTCACGCGGCTATCGCGGCGATCTTCCTACCGCAGTTATTATCCGTGTACGCCGCGCGCGCACGCGCGCGCACGGAGATGACGAAGACGGGAATCGTGCACGCGCGCGCATCTATACATCGATTGGCAATCGTATCGGCGACAGCGCGCGCGGTGAGCAATGCGACTTGTAATTGCAAGACGCTCGGCGTTACACGAGAAAAAGAGAGAAACAAATATGTCTTTCGTCGTGTTACGTCGTGTCCGCTCTTGTTCGATAATCGGCAGACTCGCGCGATTTATAAGGACGCGCTCGAAGCGACGCGCGTAAATTTCAGCTACGGAGCGAGATCGACGGCGCGAGAGCGCTTCGGAAACCGGTCGGGTCACCGGCTCGACCTTTGGCAAAGTCGAAGAAAAAAGAAACGATCGGCCGAAGCCAGTACTTCATTTTGCGACGCGCCTCGCGGACTGACTTTGCTCGCGACGGACGCGCGGCGGCTCTTCGTCTTCGACCAACTTGACTCGCGGCTCGCGGGCGGAACGAAGGTATCGTGCGCGGAATGCCGCGCCGTCGGACGAAATTGGTATTGAATCACGGAAACGTCTCACGGTGGCATCTCTGTGTGTTGTTACCGTTAATTGACGATGCTCGCGTAAAGCGTTCCATGCATAAGAGGTGCGTCGGTTTCGTCAAAGCGGAAGGGGCGTAGTGTCGAACGAGCAGGGCTCGCGGACACGTTGAAAATTGTGCGAAAGAAATATGAGGTTGAGTGAACGGGGGAAAAAGAGAGAGAGAGAGAGAGAGAGAGAGAAAGCCTCATGCACGAGTAATTGTCGCGCGTGTAAAATTAATTTAAGCATGAGAAAGTGACGATGATGTCATGTTGCAGTAGAGAAGGATTGCATCACTCTCGTGTGTCAAAATCGATCATGATTGATAATCTCTTAAAATCATTAAATATTTAATCAGCCTGTCGTATTATCCTTGTTTTCTAGACTAATGAATTTCTCGACGTATGTGTGTGTGTGTGTGTTTCGACTTTGGTATATCATTTAAATTTCAAACAACTCCCTCTGAGAAACAAACCGGCCTTCTCGAGGGAGAGACTCGAACGTGTCGATAATTATATTCCAATTTGTCAACTATCGCGAGACCGGCCGACTTTGGCGTTTCGGCCGGGTATATGGGATCAGTGAGCCGAGCGGGCAGAATTAAGACACGCAAAAACTATCGCTAAAGCGGTCACGGTGCTGGCCTCGAGAAGGTCAGAACCATCGGTTCGGCCGAAGGAGGCCGCTACCGCGTTGACCTTTCGCATCAATAGCCTTGTAATGTTGCAACGTGTCACCTTCACCCGCCTCTCGCACGACGGATAGAGGCGAGAATCGGGAGAGAGAAGAGATCCGCGAAGATCCGCGAACTTTGCACTCCTTCTCTCGCCTACGGGCGCGAGTCGACGGCGCGACGACGGCGAGTCGTCGTCGTCGTCGTCGTCGTCGTCGTCGTCGTCGTCGTCGGTGAGTCGGTTCGGCGAGTCCGCGGTACGCGCGCGCGCGCGCGAGAGAGAGAGAGAGAGAGAGAGAGAGAAAGAGCCCCGTAGGCCCGATCGGCCTGACCCATAAATCAGTCTGAAATAATGCTGCCCCCGCATGGAACGTGTGCGCGAGCGCGTTTGAACGAGCGAGCGATAAAATAAATCTTCAATACTGGTGGATACTAATGGATACCTTGTATGTAACGGCGGTGGTCTTGTTTTCTGTTCTGTTGTAGATGTGGGTGGCGGTGAGCGGGAGCTCTGAATCTCCTGCACCTTGACACACACACACACACACACACATACGCACGCACGCACACACACACACACACACACATACACATACAAAATGCACGCAACAACAACAGCAACAACAATTACTACAGTTACAACAGCAACAACAAAACTACTACTGCAACAATTACAACAACTATTACTGCTACTGCTACTACTACTACTACAAAAAAAAGACACGACTCCACGCACTCTCATTTCAATCACCCGCACTTTTCCCGGTCGTGACGAGAGCGCGACCAACAACTATGTACCGCCACCACAAGAAAAACCCCGGCATGCGTATATTTCTTCTGTTACTACCACCACTACTACTACTACCACTACTACCACTACTACTACTACTACTACTACTACTACTACTACTATTACCACTACTACTACCACTACTACTATTTCTTCTTCCTCTTCTTCTTCTCACATTACTACCACTTGTTCATATTCTTCTCCGTCTGCCACTTCCGCTACTTTGTCTCTTCACTGTGTCTGCGACTCTTACTACCACCCTCACTACCACTACTTCATCGTCGGCTACTTCTAATACTAACACACGGCGCGCACGGATCCCACGCTCTAACGAGGCGGCGGGAATGATTGATAGATAGGAAGAGAGAATTTAGAGAGTGAGAGGAGGGGAGGAAGCGAGGGCTTTCCCTGGAAGTGTACTTTCCTCACCTTCCGATTTCGACCATCTCTGTTCCAGGAGCATACACTCTGTTCCCTACAAGGGCTCCAACGGCTACTCAAATGGCTATTCAAATGGCTACTCTAGGTATTAGAAGCCATCCGGCCAACTATCCTAAACTCCCGTAGGCACGCGTTTCTTTTTCTCTATCGAGCACTCTAACTATATCTTACCGACCAGTCCCTCCTCTGTCTCAACGATCCTCGGCGTGTCGGCGTCGACCGACGACGGCTTGAAAATTCGCGGTAAATGTCCTGTCTGTGTATCGCGAAGAGATCGCGAAGGAATCGCGAAGCTTCATCGAGTGGTTGTTATTTTTTTTCTAATTTTTCGTTCACCACCTCGCCAACCACCACCACCTCACACACTCGATTCGTCCGTCCTGCTTTGATATTGTGTTTTTCGCTTCTGCCACCCTCCTGCATCCATCCCGAGCCTACACCCAGACGTCAGCCACATCAGAGGAATCTACCACCACGAAGCGCCGTCGCAGAGCCGGAAACGATGGAAGCTATCTGGGATACGACGACGCGGCGGGAGATCGCGATTTCGCGACATTTCCCGCGCAATCCGCTTCCGCAATCCGTCATTGGAATCAGCTCGCGGGATTCTCGTGAAACACGCCAACGACGAGCGCACGACGGCGCTCCGAGCGATCTCCGCGAAGCTCTACGCCGTTCTACGTTCAAAATGTTACAGTAGACGGCGTTGTCTTGACGCGACAAAGTCGTTTCGCCATGCCACAAGACACGCGAGAAAGAAAGGGAGACTGACACGACTGTATGTGTGTGTGTCCGTCCATAATCGTTTCTATCGTTTCCGCAAAACACCCTCAGACGACGCTAGACCGACCGATCGTGTCTCGCGTCCACCCTCTTACACACATCCACGAGAACCAGAGTCGACCGACGAAAGCGAAGAAGACTCGAAAAGGATAAACAAGAAGAAGAAGTGGAAGAAGAAGATCGACGACATGTTGCGCGATGTGAAGAACAACGGCGGCGGCGGCGGCGAGCGAGCGAGCGAGCGAGCGAGCGAGCGCGAGCGCGCGTGCGCGGCAGGGGCACTTTCCTCCGCGTTTTCATAACGGAAGCTATCGCGCGCTGCGTTGTTCCTCGCAGGCTCCTCGGGCTAACGTCCTAAATTGGACTACGTAATAACCTACTAGCTTCTACGGGAACGCTGACCAGTGGATGCGCTGTTCGCCGCTTCTCCGCGTGCTACCGGTGGACCACGCCCAGGCCCGGAGCGACGTCTTCCTGACCTACCACCTGGCAATCAGCCGCGCGCGGCTACTCGGCTTCCCCTTCAGAAAATCCATATAATTTCGCGGTGGTGCCGCGAGTAGGAGTCCGCGCGCTCTTAGGGAGCGCGTTCCGGAGCGTGGCAAAATCGAGTCCCCTCGTGAGAGGGAAAGAAGGAAGGAAAGAAAGAAAGAAAGAAAGAAAGAAAGAAGGAAAGAAAGAAAGAAATAAAGACAGAGAGACAGAGAGAGAGAGAGAGAGAGAGAGAGAGAGAGAGAGAGAAACTGTCGCGAAGACACAACCGGACAACCTTGAGCCACGTGGTACAAGGTGGGCCCGCGGTGGTATCGCTGACGCAAATACCAGTCAGCTGAGATCGGTTTCCAGTGGGTGAACCCTCAGCAAAGTGTCTCTTCGATTCCGGCCGAGACGCGACCCGGTGATGTGGAATAAAGATCGACCGTTATTCCCTGAGCGTCGGACGTGTCTCTCTCTCTCTCTCTCTCTGTCTCTTTCTTTCTTTCTCTCTTTCTGTCGTTGTGTTCTCTCCCCCTCTCGCAATGTCTCTCTCTGTGTCTCTCTCTCTCTCTCTCTCTCTCTCTCTCTCTTTCTCTCTCTCTGTCACTTTATTCTCTTTTAATGTTATTCCGTCGTTTCCTTTTGTTCGTGGCGGAAAGAACGCGCGAACGGCGATCGAGTGGTAACGTATATCGCGTGGAAAAAATTGAGAAGAAAAAGAAAAGAAAAAAAAAAAAGAATCACGTGGACGGTGAAAATCGTGAGCGCGCGCGCATGGTGAAGCAATCGGCGCTACGCGGCGAACCGATCGAATCGAATGTATTCGCGTCGAAATCGTCGGCGATAGCGTGGCGAGCGTGAAGTAATAGAGCGTGGGTGGTAGTGATGCCGCCGATTCTCTCTTGCTTTTCGAGCGAGATGTTAAACGCGAATATCGAAGTGGGAAAGCGCGTACGCGGCGAATGCACGAGTGCAATCGTAGCAATCGAATGCTTCGAGTTTGTATAAACGGCGGAAAGAGAGAGAGAGAGAGAGAGAGAGAGAGAGAGAGAGAGAGAGAGAGAGAGAGAGAGAGAGAGAGAGAGAGAGAGAGAGAGAGAGAGAGAGAAAGAGAGGGAGGGAGGGAGGGAGGGAGAGACACCGTCGATGCGTAGAGGAGAAAATAGAAATATGAGGTATTTGTAAAACGTGTTCTCGAGGCATAAAATTTAACGTTTGTATAACTTTACGAGTTACGTCGATCACGTTAAGATCTTGCGTTTCGTCGGCACGGACTGTCAAAATGTCGCGATCACACGGGCCGCAAATTCGTATGCTTTTGCACTCTGAAGATTTCTTTTTTCTTCAGTTTCTCTGCTTCGCACATATATGTCATATTTCTAAGTTCTCGAATATCTACGTTCATGACACACAACATACACACACACACACACACGCACGCACGTACGCACACATATTCAAACACACATTGGTGCTACATGTTGGATACAACGCGTGAAGAAATACAGATGGCCTTCTTACAAACATAAATATTGTACTGTTGCATCATCTTCCGTTCTAATCGTCCTTCGACTCGGAAATTCGATCCGAGTGCATCGTGATGCAACGTAAAGAATGTATGTGCTCTCGTGTATTAAATTTAATATATATTTCTTTGCGGCATGTTCCGAACCGTGTATATTTAAGGCGGGAGAGAAAGCGTCTCGACTCGAATGTAACGTTGACGAGGGTTCAGAAATTCGCGTGACTGGTCCTAATATATCTTTCGCAAAGTCGTTAAATATGTTTCACCATGAGACGCGAGAGAAGAGTGCCGTGCGCACTTTTTAAAGCGATGTTAACGCGATTTGCAACGTGTGTTCTTGCTACGGCGTCTCGAGGATATCGAGAGTTGCCTTTTAGCGTGAACCCGCGTGAAAGCAAAAGAAAAGAGAAAAATTGATTGACTCGAGTGATCCGCAACGAGAATATCCACGATGGCTTCGGGAACGAACAGGACACTTTACCTTCTTCCTTTCTAAATCACGTTTTCCTTCTCTTTTTATTCAAGTGGAACGAGACCGAACGGTCGTACTTTGTAAATAGCTTAAAACGTGCCGAGTCCCTAATATTATATTATTATTTTAATTATTATTATATTATTAATTATTATTTTATGAACGTTGGATTGAAATAGCGCTTAGAGTCAGTCTGTATCGTAGCCGCCGATAGGCCTCACGGAGTGTAGAGCTGCATCTTCATTGTACGGAATCATAGGAGCGATATAATGTTATTTTATTATTATTAAAAAATTATTATATGTTATTATTATATTATTATTATTATTATTATTACTACTACGATGTGTACTACACGATATCTACATGCATGTATCGCTAGCTTTACACAACCGAGGTCCGCAGCCCAAGTCGCGAGCCCGGTGAGGTGGTCTACGTTCTTTGTCTCTCCAAGAGAGATGAGACTATATGCGCGATGAATCCTCATATGTGCTTTCCGCAAATCGCATTGTACCAGTGGGAAAAAGATTTCCACTCCACAAATTCACACAATAAATTCGCCAACTTGTAAAACGCTAATTCGCCCTTCCTGTTCTTTCTCACCTCACGAGATCCTCTGTCCCTTGTGTGAGTGAGATTGAAAAAGTGTTTGAAAAAGTTGCTGCCGAAAAGTCGCTCAGAGATCTCGTCCGTTCTTCATTTCGGCTGCAATCGGCATCGCCGACGTTGCGTCACAGTTCGCGACTTTGCTCGAGTGCGCGCGGCGCACACGGTTGAGACGAGAGAGGATCGCGCAAAAATGTGGAGCAATTATTCCATTCCACAATTTGCGAGCCGCGACTCGCGATTAATCTGCATCTCGTTTGAGCCGAGAGCTATGAGATGACTCAATCGTAGAAATTATCGGGATAATTCATTCCTGAGGATCGCTTGGAAACGGTCGTCACGCAAATCACTGCGAGTTAAGCGGCGCGGCGGCCAGTAAGGCGAAGGAGAAGAAGACGGAGAAGAGTAGCAGTACTGATCAAGACAGATCTCCCGCAGGCGTGAAATAGCGGACCCGTATGAAACCATCCTTCTTGTCACAATAAGTCAACCGGCGATTAACGGTACGTCTTGATCCGATTGATTCAAAAGTATGCGCGCGCGCGCTTCACTTCGGCACGCGGTAAATTTCTCTCAATCGTTCTCGCTTCTTCCCGATATCGTCGCGAGTGAGAGGGGGGAGAGGGGGGAGGCGTTTTATATCACGTCGATTTCCGGCCGAATCTAATTTCGCTCAATCGAATCGAATTGACGGTTATTAAGCGGAAATCAAACGTTGCTTGTATCGACTGCTTGACCGACGCGAAACACAC